ACGCTCCTCCTCATCACATAAGCCATGGTTATATTGAACAATACAGTTGAGTACCACTATTTGGTGCACCCTACTGTTGTTTTTAAACCAGTCAGAAAACCGACCATTCTGCTCTGATGGCTCCTTTAGTATCTCCTTACAGTCCCCATTCCAGAACGATGATCTTCTGCTGTGCACCATAGTGGTACTGTATATGCGAAACTATTGTCGGTGTATCGAGTCGAAAGCAACTCGGCAGTCGAGGAATGTTGCATGTCAGTACAACTGGAAGCTGCTATGTTGCAACAGTATGCTTTAATACGGCAATGTTTTCCGTACATGACTATATGGTTTGAAATGTGATTTGATTTCTTCGTAACGAACCGTCATCTGCGTTCTTCAGTCTTCAGAGGAAGATTTGCGCAAATCCATTTTCCAGCACTGGCAGAAGTACAATCCGGCAGTAGCTATCGCAGTCAGAGCTAGTCTCACGTTCAGCATGGGAACGATCACGCCCTGCTTCCAGTCCTCAGAGATTTCTCACTTCCACCATATGCTGTCAGAGACCAGATCCAGTTCAATAGGCTTTCATCTCTGCGCCCCAGGATTTCCGCATTTGTCCTGTCACTCCAGCAGGATTTTTATTTTCGGAAGAGACTTATGGAATCTCAGAATTCTTCATTAGATTAAACGAAGCAGTACATTTCCAGTTCTTCTCTGTGACGTCTGTTTCCATGTCATCCACTTGAGAGGGCCTGTGTAAGAGCTCCTGAAAGCGATCTTTGCATTTCCTGTCATCTGACTAAATTTGGAAGCCGGTTATTGCGCATGCTGCGAATCAGAGAAGTCAGAAGCCTATGTTTGCCGTGATTGGTGATGATGTTAACTTGTCCGCAAAAAGTTTTCCAATCATTCTTCAGTGCCGTCTGGTTCAGCCTCTGCACTTCGAGCTCACCCCCTTTTGCTTGTCACTGTGTTGAATCCTGTTGATCGCTTTGACGAGATGCTGATACGTTAGCTTCTTCTGTAAGAAAAGAGTTCCGTCAGCATACCCGTTTCGCCGCGTTTCTCCTTTGGCGAAAAAAGAAGGCTTCTGCTGAGACCCATGGATGCTTCAATTTTTTGATGAGGTAGGGTGTATTGGCTCGTCAGATGCGATTACCAATTTGAGCTGTTCCTAGAGTAACTTTGAGTCCTGACAGATCATGTACTTTACAACAGCTGATCTGCTGTTGATCTCGTCATACGAGATTTGGAACGCCGTGCAAATTTTTGGGACTGTTAACATGCTTGTTTCGAATCGAATCCGTTCCTTTCTCCTGGACGTTTACGGTTGGAGGAGAGCCTTGCGACCGCCTTGCTAACCAATACTAGCTCCGCGTCATACCGGTGTCTGGTAAAGAATGCTTCTGCACCTTCTGTTGGCCATTATGTGGTCTCGCTGGCTTTTGAATTGGTCTCCTGATGATGCCACGTCAGTTTGTGGAGTTCCCCGTCCCGTCGACGACGAAGCTATACGTGGAACAAAGGTCCAACAGCCCTTGACCGTTGTCATTCAAAATCCCGCAGTCTTGTTGATCCTCACGTAAGGACAACTAGAATTATTAGCACCGACCTCTACGTTCATATCACCGGCGATGAGTGACAATTGATGGCGTGGTAGAGTGCTGAGGTGTGTATGTGTTTGTGTGTGTGTGTGCGTGTGTGTGTATGTGTATGTGTATGTGTATGTGTATGTGTATGTGTATGTGTGTGTGTATGTGTATGTGTATGTGTATGTGTATGTGTATGTGTATGTGTATGTGAGTGTATGTGAGTGCGTGTGTGTGTGTGTGTGTGTGTGTGTGTGTGTGTGTAAATGCACATAGAATTCATCCTTCCTTTGATCGACCGTGACATTTGGGAGGGGCGCATACGATTGGCACGTTGACGCCAACGTGCTTGCTGCAAGATGGCAAACTGGTATCTGGTCTGTCGTCTACTCGACAGAAACCAAGGCCTTCGTTGTTCGCGGC